CTCCAGCCTGGGCGACAGAGCGAGACTCCGTCTCAAAAAAAAAAAAAAAAAAAAAAAGCAAAGAAATTGGAACTCCCATACATTGCTGGTGGGAATGAATATTGGTGAAGTCCCCTTAGAAAGCAGCATGGTGTTTCTTCAAAAAGATAAACATAGAATTAACATACACTGCAGCAATTTCACTCCTAGATATACAGTATTCAGAAAACAATTAAAACAGGGACTTAAAAAGATACTCATATGCCAATATTCAGTACAGCATTGACAATAGTCAAAAGATGAAAATAAACCAAGTGTCCACTGATGAAAAAAAAATGGATAAACAAAATGCGGGATAGCCATACAACTGAATCTTATTTAACTTTACAAAAGGAATAAAGTTCTGACACATGCTACAACATGAAGGAACCTTGAACATTATGCTAAGTGAAACAAGACAGATACAAAATTGCAAATACTATAGGATTCCACTTATGTGACATATCTATAAGAGGCAAATTAGTAGAGACAGAATATAAATTAGAGGTTACCAGGCATTGGCAGGAGGGTGGAATAAGGAATTGTTATTATTGCTTAACAATTACAGAGTTTATGTTTCGGGTGATAAAAAGTTTTGGAAATAGTAATTATGGTTATACAATAATGTGAATGTAAATAATGTCACTGAATTACACACTTAATAATGATTAAGTGGCAAATTTATGTTTTTCGTGTGTGTGTGTGTGTGTGTGTGTAAAACCACAATAAAAACTTAAAAAGTAAACAGGAATATATTATCAGGAACTGGAAAAAGGGAGAATCGCATTACACAATGGGTAAAAGCTGCCAAAATTGTTACCTATGGTAGTATGAAAGGCAAAACACCTAAGTTGAGTTACATAACTAAGGAAATTTCCAAGCAAAGTGTTGAAGGTACTGCTTGGTCTCTTCATGCTGCTTACAGTAAAATGTAGGTGAAGAAAGAAAGACTGAGGAATGGATTATTAAACTAAAAGAATAGGGACTGGATGATTTTGGAAATCATTCACTTTTAATGAAAAATGATGCAAAAAATATAAAATATCTTTCACAGTCCTTTCAAGTACTGTTAGGGAAGGTTGGAACAGTAAAAGCTGAGGTAGTGACTATAAAACCTTTTATTGCAACCTCAGAAAGATGAAAGAATTGGAGTAGTATTTAGTTACACAGAGTCCTTTCTAGAGCAAGTGTGTGCCTCACAGATCCTCTCAACTGCATCAGATCACCTCTAGTGAGCTGGAGGGTGTTGTCTCTCAGCCATCTCAGCAGCACCCCAAGGTAGAGAAGGGCTAACTCAAAAAGGTCTGTGAATGTAGCTTTTGTTTAGTGGAGTAAACCTTGTGGAAATCCATTGAAGACTCATAATGTTTTTCAGAAACTTACTTCCACAAAGATACCAGCAGCTTGGATGGAAAGGGACAGAGAAAATACCCATGAAAGGCTGCTGGAAACCCTACACATTCTACTGACAGGAAGGAAGCTGACAAAACTAACTAGCTACAAGCACATGCTCTCTTCATGAAAAAGAAAGCCTGATTCAGGAAGTATAATTAACAGCCCAGAAGGCAGAGTCAAGAACCATAAAACATTATGCCCATTCCTTGAACTTAATTAAGCAACTCCCAACACTTGCTCAGCTAGATTTCATAATTTATATGGAACGGTGATTCCTTTATAATTTCCATCACCCCACACCACCTACTGCCTTTTTGAACAGAAATGAATCAACTCTGGAAGACAGACTTTATGGTAACCCTAGTGAGCTCTGCCTCCTGATATTCATACCCTGTGTCATCACCTCCTCTAAGTTGTGGAGGCCTGTGTCTTATTTCCGACCAACAGAATATGGCAAAAGGGTGAGATGTCACTTTTGTGATTATGTTACAAAAGTTTGTAATGCCTGTCTTGCAAGGAGACTGTCTTTCTTGCTGGATTTTAAAAGGCAAGTGACAACACCAGGAAAGATCACTTGGCAAGAAACTGAGAGTGATCTCTGGATAACAACTATGTAAGGAATTGAGGTCTGCAGTTTGACAGCCCACAAAGAACTGAATACAAACAACAACCACATGATATTGGAAGTGAATCTTTCCCCAGTGGAGCCTCAGATGAGACCACAGCTCTGTCCCATGTTTTGATTGAAGCCTGCTGAGTCCCCAAGCATAGGATCTAGCTAGCCATATAGGAATTCCTGACCCATCGGGACTATGAGCTTTCAAAAAGAAATGTGTGTTGTTTTGAGCCACAAAGTTTATGGAACTACTATTACACAGCAGGAGGAAACTAGCACAGATAATAACATTTGCATCTTGACAATATTTACAGAGGTCCATTTTTTCCTTTTGTTAGTAGCCTTTCTGGGAGTTGGTGCTTCTACTCAGCTCTTGATACTCCAGAAAATCTTTTCAAGGAAATGTCAGAAGAGAAAAACAAAGTGTCTGTACGTTCTAAAGTACATGTAAAATTAAGCTAGCATTATTTTTCAGAAAAAAAATAATGTAAATACTTCTGATATTTTTGTTGCAACAAAGCTCCCATTGAATAATTCTACATATTGGAGATGTCCCAGATGAAAAATCACTAACTATAAACCTACCATTAACTTAGGGAATCTTTTGAGAAGATCAATTCATTATCTTGTGGCTACCCAGGATTTCTTGAGGGTTGATGGTGTTCAAATAAATATGATATAAATTTATTATTTCTTATGCCTAGTTCTTAGTCTTTTGTATGCTCCCATGGAGATCATAGCCTCTTTCATTCCTGAGTTTAGTCCTCAAATATCCCCATTGTTGGATCTGAATGCTTTTATATTTCTTAGGTGAAGAGACCTTTCGTATAACATGGCAGAGACACCTAAGAACCTATTGCTTATGAAGACCACGGAGGAAACTTTAGGTACTTGGTTTTTCTTATTTTCATTAAGCTCCCAGTAGCCCCCTAAAAAGACTATTCAAGAGAAAAGCTTAAATATTATCAAAATTTTACATAGTCTCTGTTCTTAGTATCCATCTCTTATTTAAATTCACGTTTTCCCCCATTGAGCAAATGCTAATCTACAAGTGAACATTTCTTCTGTACAAAAGGAATATTTTACATGTAAGTCCCTCAAACACACTTGCCCTCTTTATTCCTCATCTTTTCCTGAAGACACTGCTCTATGAAACATCCTATGTGGATGCAAACATACACATCTGTCAGCCACATTGTGAATCAGCCTCTTCTTTCCTGAGTGATCAGCCTGGGAATGGTGATAACACATGCTAAGTTTGTGGTGGTGCCTTGACTCTAGGGAAGACTCTGCACAGATGGAAGTGACTTTGCCTCGATGGGCTGTACAGGTTGAGCATCCCTCAGCTGAAATGTTCAGGACCATTAGTGTTTTGGATTTCACATTGTTTCAGATTTTGGAATATTGGTGTCTGTATAATGAGATATCTTGGGGATAGGACCCAAGTCTAAATACAAAATTCATTCATGCATCAAATATACCATATACACAAAGGCTGGATGTAGTTTTATATATTTTAAATAATTTCTTGCATAAAACAAAGTTTTGACAGCATTTTGACTGCCACCAGTCAAAAGATTTTGACCGCAAAAGTCAAAAAACCAGTGTGGAAATTGCCACTTGTGACATCATGTCAGTACTGGAAAAGTTTTGGATTTTGAAGCATATTGGGTTTCAGATTTTCAGATTAGGGATGTTCAGCCTGTCCTAGATGACAATGTATAGCATTTAGAAACTTCCAACCAATTTAAAATTGTACAAGGCTTGGAAATAATAGGGAGACAATTCTTCCATAATAGGCTTTCCCACTTATCAACTGGTGTTAGAAAATGACAGGCTTGCACAAGACTGTCTCAGGGACTGCTTCAAAAATGACAAACCCTGCTTGGTAAAAATCATCTTCATTTCCTATTAGTCAAAAGGAATGAAATCTTAATTGGCAAGTGAGGAACTCACTGAAAGAAAGAAAGGAATGATTCTTCTTAGTTGATTTTAGGTTGTAATAAATACCTACTGGAGAGCTATCTAAACAGTAAGTCTGTTGGTTCTGTTCATATAAATACTAAATGCATAGCATATAACTATATACAATATTTTTATTCGAGGCTCCACTGAGCTCATGTCATCAAATATAAACCTACTACATTTTAATTAAAATGCATTGAAAGTCATTCAACAAATTTATATTAGTATAGCTGAATAAGAATTCTGAAAGCACTATGAAATTTACCTACTTGAATTCTTTCCCAATAGTGACAAATTAGAATAAACATAAATAGTATATTTAATGCATATTAAGACAGATTCATTGATCTTGCAAAACAGATTCAATGATTACGATTGCAGAGATTGAGCCTGAAACCAAACGTCTAATTCTACACCAAGAAACAAATTGTTAAATCCAAGACTAAATCAAAATGTCGCCATGATGTGCTGAAAGCTCAAAATACACGTGGAAAAGAATCCTGAATTTGGGTTGTGCTGCAGCTTCATTGAGGGTATTTCTGAATATGCCCTTCCATGCCTTCCAGAGGATTAACTGAGTACGATGAAAACCTTACCGCACCTGCCCGTGTGTCTGCATCCGGGACCTTCTTAGGTCCTCCTTGGAACTGAAGCTTTGAGACCGGTCTGGTTAAATTCTCACCAGAATAAGTCTCCTGCAGACGTACTTCCAGAGTCTCCAGGAGCCTAACACAGCACAGAGGTCCCTGGGGACTCTAATGCCTTCGCAATTGCTCACCAGAGCCAACCCAGCTGTGTAGGCACCAGAGCAGCCCAGTGATGCTGTCAACGAGGCTTTGATCAAAATTAAAGGTTGCCAGGAAAAGAAGAGGACGACTGGCTCAGCGGAAAGGGATGCCACACATAAGCTACGGTAGATCCAACACTAAAACCGCGGGGAACCCGACCTGGCCAGAATGAGAGTAAGCGTGAGGGTGGCGGTGCTGGCAGGCGGGTGCTCACGTACCTTTCCTCGCGGTTCTGTCCCACGCACACCCGGCCCCCGTGCCTGGGAGTGGGGTTGCTGCAGGAGCGCTGCCGCACCTGGAAGCCGATCCCACAGGTAGTGCTGCAGGGAGACCACGACGTCCAGGGAGTCCAGCCTCCGTTCCTGAGGGAAGGGAAGCAATGCAATCATTAGGTCAGGCAGGCTCAGAGTCCAAGCCCTGTCTGCACCCACAGCCAAATGCTTGTGTTCCCCAGGAGGATCACGCTCGGGGCTGCTGGGGAGAGGGCACACCAGCCACGGAACTGAATGGACTGCACCCTGTGAATCTCAATTCCTGCGTCTGCAGCCCCCAGGCATCTGGTTTCTAGTCAAGATAGGAAATTTGAGAATAAACTTTTAAGTGCACTATAAATAATGGACTATACTAGAAACTATCAAAAAAAATTGAGTTATGAAAATATTAAACTAATAAAGAATAAGGTTATTTCACTGACAAGCATTTAGAAATGAATGCCTACACCTCTAGAGTTTATGAGTTTTTTGGACTTGTATTATATCATTTATAATCTATGAAAAGTGCACCTCTGGACAAAATGCTCATCTAAAACTGCCTAAAATGCTTTCTTTTAAAAATCTATTAATATCAGTGACAATCAGTAACTCTCCTGATAGCATTCAAACTGATAAAGAGTGTTGTATTGTTAGAATAATGTTCAAAGCTTTCAAATGAAAGAGTGTTGTATTGTTAGCATAATATTCAAAGCTTTAAAAGGAACTTTATTAAAAATTTAAAAAGGACATCTAAATTCAGATTCTTGGCTATCTTTTAACAAACTGACAGAGACATAAAGAGCACAAAGTGCAAATTGCATATAACTAACTGTATTTATGTTATTACACATATAGAGTAATGTAGATATATAAAAATATGAAATAAAATAGGATGAACTAATTTTTTAAAAATTTTAAATTATATTGACAGCTCTAGAAATGTGTTAGTATTGTATTTTTTCCTCAAAATGCCTGTATTCAGACTGGTTATAATTTAAGTGTCCCCCTTAACACTTTGTTCCTGCTCTTAAAAAACATATAGGTTTTTTTAACTTTATGCGTTAAAATATATATTAAATCCACATTCCAAACTTCCAAATAGATGGTCTACTTTGTGCAGAATTTTTTTCACTTCTGCAATCACATATGCATTTCTTTGGATATTTGTCACCTTCGTCCATAAGATTTACATTTCCTGTGAAAAAATATTAGCTCACACTAATTCTCATTTTTACTTTATGCATTTCCTTTTAAAACATGGAGGTAAACAACTATGCCACTGAAGTTCCTGTTATAAATAATATGTTGAATATTATCATATTAAAAATAATTTCAAAAAAAAATTATTCTGAGAAAATTCTTAGAATATTTCATGTTTTCCTACTTTATTGAAACCTAATGATTTAATAAAATATGTAGTCATAGCTTTATGTGTCATATTATAATAAAATTGCTCTATAATAATTTAACCAAAATTATCACACAATAAGACAAATCTTCCCACATTTCTTATAAAGGTAATCAGCTAGTATCTTATACCCTGCTACCTACAATCTTAAAAATTATCCATGTTATTCACTGAATTATATTTAAAAATTTAAATAGCAGTTTTAGTATAAATCAATTACATTTAACTTGCAGAGTTTCATTATATGTGAAAAAAATTGTTAGATCATGCAGAAAATGGTGCTTTCAAATTTGTTTGGAAACTCTTCATTTCTTAAATCTTTTAGCAAATGTGGATTGACTTTTTTTTTTTTTTTTTTTTTTTTTTTTGAGACAGAGTCTTGCTCTGTCACCAGGCTGGAGTGCAGTGGCACTAACTCAGCTCCCTGCAACCTCCGCCTCCCGGGTTCAAGCGATTCTCCTGCCTCAGCCTCCCAAGTAGCTGGTAATACAGGCATGCACCACCATGCCCAGCTAATTTTGTATTTTTAGTAGATTGGTTTTCTTCATGTTGGTCAGGCTGGTTTTGAACTCCTGACCCTGAGTGATCTGCCCACCTCAGCCTCCCAAAGTGTTGGGATTACAGGCATGAGCCACCGGGCCAGGACACAAATGTGGAATTTTATGACATATTCCATTTACAATATATGGAACATGTTTGTATATAGGGTAGTAAGTAAATAAAAGTGTATATAAGTAATAGGAAAAGAATATCTGAGGAAAGAAGTGAACGCAGCTTTACATGTATATGTCTATTACCCAGACCTGAGTTTCCATACTTTTAAATGCTGCTTAGAGGCAGACATAGTTACCAAACAAGTCACATAAAGTAAACAGACATCAGGAGGGGGGTCACTTTCATGATTATTAGTACAAAGCTATCCACTCATGCTTTTAAAGCCTCATTCAAACTAGTTCACTTACTAAATTTTTAATCTTTAAATAACTGCTAGTTGCACTGCAGCTCTGCTTAGAAAATGGCTTTCCAACTAGAGCAAGATCTGAAGACATACCAATAAATAAGTTATAGCAATTCATTTGGCAGTCTTATTTTTCTATTGAACAATATGAGCAAAGAGTATTAGCTACTTGTTGTCATCTTCAAACAACAGCACTTTGATAGCTTTTGTAAGTTTCAGCCGGGCAGCTGTGGAAATCATTTCATTTAATACAGAGCATACAGTACATAATACAATGTTGATATGGCTGTGTCCTCTGTAATACAAAAAACAAAAACAAAAACAAAAAAACCCTAATCTCTGTGGCCCTGATTTGTTCCTTTCACCTTGGTGGTGAGAAAAATGTGAGCAGAGGGCAAAGTCTGCCTTTACTTTACTTTCCTGGCCCGCTTCCTCTTAGGCATGTGTGCCTGCATGACCTGGGCTGTCCTATAATTTGATCACCCAATCTGATGTCCACTGTTAGTGACTTCATAAATAATTGTCCCAGAGACTTTTTTCTTTTTTTTTCATTCTAAGTGGGCTCATGGAAAGCAGATATGTTTTAAAAATACCACCAATTAATGAACGAGTGACAAGGAAGCATAAAGACTGATCTCAGAAGCGTTCCTCATACTTGCCTTAAAATTTCTCTGTGATTATGGTGTTATAGGTGCAAGGGATGGAGAGCAAATGGAATATAGTTGTAAAAAAAAAAAAAAATAAAACAAACACCACCACAATAAGCGGAAGCAACAGGAAAGCTATTCAGTAGGTTATGTTATTTAAACTGCTCTCTTGATTACCCAGTGCCTAATGTTAGCTGAGGTGAGAGGTGAGGTGCTCTGAGCACCAATAGCCTACAGAGTAGAGCAAGTTGATCAAGGACTTGGCTTCTTCTGCCTCCTAATCTAGAGTTATTATGTCCTACCCCTAATGGACTATTAGTTGATATATTCCAGGAAAAGATTATTAAATAACATGGATGTTTTCCTTAAACAAAGTCAATCACATTGTTCAAATTATAAATACTTTTCCTAATCTAATGAAGAGTATGTGAATAAGTGTAGATCTGTAATCCAGTTTGTAGTTCAAAATCTCCTTCCAAAAATCATGTAATTTTTAAATGGTGAATGTCCACAGTGTTTCACTACAGTTCTCTCCAAAAGGGAGTTATGTTATGAATGATGTCCCAAATTCATCAAGAGTCTGAGTTTAATACACAGCAGCACAACTGGCATGTTCTGAGGGGCACACCTGGAACAGTTGGCGATCTCCATGCTAGGGCCTTCACACTGCCAGCCACCACACTGGGGGGCTGGGCTGTCGCAGGAGCGGGTTCGACAGAGGCAGGATCCCACGGCACTGCCATCTGTGTGCGTGCAAGGCGTCCACGGAGACCACACGCCAAAGTGTCCATCCACGGTGAGATTCCTGGTCTAGGAAGCAAAACCAAGTACAGGTGTCAGAAAATGTTCAAGCTGAACACATACTACAGTAAAAATTAAAAATCCCTCATAAGACAATCAAAATTCCTTTAGATGTTTTTTGTTGTTGCAATTAGAAAAAGATTGCATGAGGGAGTATTTCAACGTAAAGTCATAGAGGTCATTGCTGGAGATGGTGAGGAAGAAGCAGGGAGGGAGGCAGAGGGAAAGGGGAGGCAGAAAAGGAGAAGAAGAAAAAGAAGAGAAAGATGAAGAAGAAGAAGGAAAAGGAGGAGGGGAGGAGAAGGAAAGGAAGGAAAAGAAAAAGGAGAAGGAGAAGAATGATGGGAGAAAGAGGGCTGAGAAGAGAGGAGGAGGAGTGAAGGATACTAGTAACTTGGCAATCAAGTTACGGCCAAATTGTCCACTAATTTGGAAAATTCAAAACGAAGAGGAACTGGAGTGAAAAATCACAGCTGCACAACCCCATTTCATGTTTATGTGCCTTTAAAAAATGAAAGCTTAGTAACATTTATCATTAAAGACTTGGTTTGGCTCTCAAACTGAAAGCATTCAATTCAGGACATATTTAAAGAGCATCTACTAAGCAGCTGCAGCGCTTCTCTTTGTTAAGTGTATCCCAGTCAAACCTGTGTTCTGATCAACTTCTAAGAGCTTATGGGCCAGTGAGAAAGAGCTAGACAAGTAATTATTACCCCACGTAGAATCCGACGATGGATTCACAAATGGGGGCTATGGGAGCAGAGGAGAGAACACCCAACAGGCTCACGGGGTCTGGGAAGAGCAACGAGGGGCCTGTGTTGAGTCTTAAAGAGTGAAGAAAGAGCCAAGTAGAGGGGCTGGCAAGGGCTGGCAAGGGTGAGGGCAGAGGAATGAGGCTGCCAAATGGGAAGGGTACATGGGTGTTCCCCGTCAGTGTGGGGTGAGCTGGTGGTTCAAGGGGAGCAACACCAAGGACTGAGGAGGAGCCCAGGGCAGGGACCTCATGGGGAGGGGTCAGGGAGCCCCCTGAGCTTGCTGGTGTGGCACCTCTGAAGGCACTCAAGGGGAGGGCATGGCATGGCTGGCACATGCATGACCAGCTCTGGTATGGCAGAGGCACCAGCGCGTACCTGGCTCATTGAAGTAAGGGACAGCTTCCTGCCAAATCCGATAAGCAAATCTGCTCAAGAGGTGGCAGTGCTGCTGGGAGGAGAGACTCATGCGGCACAGCCTCACATCACATGCCCAGAAACCAGCTAATGGATCTCTCCTCAGAAAGGCAATGGGAAGAAGGTCTAAGAGTCCTGTTTTGGTTGTTGTTGTTTTTGAGATGGAGTCTCGCTCTGTTACGCAGGCTGGAGTACAGTGGTGTGGTCTTGGCTCACTGCAACCTCCACCTCCCAGGTTCAAACGATTCTCGTGTCTCAGCCTCCCAAGTAGCTAGGACTACAGGCACCTGCCACCACACCAGCTAATTTTTATATTTTTAGTAGAGACAGGGTTTCACCATGTTGGCCAGGCTAGTCTCGAACTCCTGACCTCAAATGATCAGCTCTCCTTGGCCTCTCAAAGTGCTGGGATTACAGGCATGAGCCACCATGCACAGCCTCCAAACCTCCTAATATTAATATGGAAACTTAAGCATCCCTGAGAAAATCTGACCAAGGAAGAGCTTTAGTGATGAGTGAACCGCATGCTTTCACCTTGCCCTCTGTGACCGGCTGCACGCCTCCTCCTCTGCCAGAGTTCTCTTCCAGAACCATCTATTACCTTCAGAAAGACTCATCGTCCTCACAAGAAACAAGTCACAAGAAACAACTCTTTGTACCATAAAGTTCATTCTCTTTGGGTTACACACTATACCCATACTTCGCCATTTCAGAATAATGCCGACACCATATTTTGTGGGTAAAAATATCGGTAAAGTTTACTTTTGATTCATCATTGCCCCAAATACAATAGGATCTAAACATGAAAAGTGTTCGTTGTCTTTGACATAACTGGTTGGCCAAATCCAGTTGCTATACTTATGACTATCCTTCCTTTCTAACCAACCCTCTAACATTTTCTATCCAGTAAGGCGGATGGGATTGGGAATTTCCCCCCATACCTGGCTATTTATGTAAGAAACTGTGACAAAAGGGATGGAATGGAGCTGCACCATCTGTTAGAGCAATTCTTTTCTTTTCTTTTTTTAAATTTTACTTTAAGTTCTGGGATACATGTGCAAAACGTGCAGGTTTGTTACATAGGTATATATGTGCCATGGTGGTTTGCTGCACCTATCATCCCATCATCTAGGTTTTAAATTCCACATGCATTAGGTATTTGTCCTAATGCTCTCCCTCCCCTTTCCCTCACCCTCCGACAGGTCCTGATGTGTGATGTTCACCTCCCTGTGCCCATGTGTTCTCATTGTTCAACTCCCATTTATGAGTAAGAACATGCAGTATTTGGTTTTCTGTTAGAGCAATTCTAAGAGACATGCTGGATCCTACTCAAGAGGAAAATATCCCCATTTCCAAGGTCCCGGTGGCCTCCCTGTTGGCTTACATGAAAAGACAGCACCTACTCTGATCATAAGGTTCCCTGAAGACCATAGCGTTTTCTTGGAGAAACCAAGCCTTGCATGACAACGTGACTCAAGCCACTAACATAGCAGATTCGGCTGTTAAAGAGGCAAAGACCCTACCATTTGGGAGTTTCAACATTCTCCTTTCACCTCTTTATCAGCCCTCCCTCTTGTCTTCAGCCAAAGGACTCCCGTGTCGGTGGATAAGAGGTGGACAGTCAGTTTCAAACGCAGTTCCTATGAGCAAACACAGTTCCTATGCTAGCGCATCCGCGCCTGCTTTAACATCCAGACTCCTGCTTGCTGTGCAAACATTGCTGGTATTGTTTTGACTGTAAAAAGCACAAGTCTCTTGTTCACGGAGCCAGCCTCAAGCAATAACGGTGGTCAGACAGACAGAACATTTGCATCATAGTTACACAATATATAGGTCTGTACTATTTTGACTCTTCACAGTGTGGGCTCAGTTAAGAAACCTTCCAGGGCTGCTGAAGGCCCCAGGGAACACCACCATGGGATCTGTGACCATCCTAAGCCTGCAGGTGGGAGGGAGGACAGGGTAGCTGGAGCCATCCTTGGTTGAAGGGGGTAAGGGAACGATACTCCAGTCTCATTCCTCTTGCCCATGCCTCTCATTACGTGAGCCCAAGGCCACAAGACAGCAAGGGAGAGAGGATCGGACATTGGATGTGAGGAAGGTCAGACCCTTGGGGCAGAGAGTGAGTGGGGAGGGAGACTCTCTGAGAGGTTCTCTGGGACAATTGGTCATCCTTTGCCTCACTTTTCTATGAAGCTGTAACAACTCCAATAGTTCATCTTGCCTCCGCTCAGAAAGCCAAATACACTGGGAACAACAGGAAGGACAGGAAAGAAAGAGCTGAATTATTACAGGGCCAGGCAAGTGAGGAGAACAGAAAGGAACTCCTCAAGCCTGGCTCCCTGAGAATTGAGAGACTAGGGGTTTGTGACAGTACTTTGGCAGGCCAGGGCTGGCGAACCAAAACAGTTAATTAAATCACAGGGGTGTGAAAACTGCCTCCAGGCAGCTGAGTCAGTTCCTGAGAGGGGGTCTCAGGACTACCTGGCGGCTTTGGTCAGCTGAAGTGCTAAATCTGAACAATATCTCAAAGACCACTTCTTTACGTTTCACAATTGCAGTGTTATCTATAGGGGTAGTTAGAGAAGTTATGAATCTTGTGACCTCTGGTTACCTGAATCTGCAGTAAACAGCTTAAAGAAAAGCAGGCTAAGTGTCAGCAGATCGTGGTTTATACCTATTCTTCAGCAAAGTTCAAGCCCTTATCATTGTGAATACAGATTCAATCTCTAAATAAGAGGACAGGGAGGTAAGTTTTCCTTGCCTCAAAATTTAACCATAAACTACATTCCTCTCATAGTTATCTTGGCGTTGGCCTCTGTGTTATTATATGCAAAACAAGAATACATAAAACAATTTAGCCTGCGATGTTAGAAGCAAGATGGAATCAGTCATACTAGAATTCGCTCATCACTTCTAATTCTGCAAAGGCTGTTTCAAAGGCGTGAGGGGTCATGCAGGTTGGGATGCTGTGGAGGTCAGAGTAGTTCTATCTTGGATGCTAATCCCCCATGTTGACTTCTGATTAACCCCAGTTCTGGGAATGCCTCTAAGATTTCCAGTTTACCTGTCATTCCTTGTGTAAGAGCATGTACTTAATGCAAACCCTGCCCTTTAGCAAATTCCTAGGCATTCCCTCTGAAGCACGTATACCCTTTCCCTATGGCACATAAGCCCTGGGAATAATCCACGGAGCTCTACCGGTCCTGCAGCTGCCCAAGAGCATATTTCTCTCTGTAAGTTCCCAATAAACTCACCCTATACCAACAAACTGAATTTGTCTGCCTCACTCTTGGGTTTCTTGAGTCCTTCTGTGTTTGGGGGTTTATTTGCACATACGTCCCTTTCATGAAGCAGATGCATTTGTGATTTTTTTTGAATGTTTATAAATCCCCCTAGTATTAATCGGAAACATTTGAGATGGCAGAATTGGGACAGATTAGAGAATCTGAGGCAAAGAAGAGTCTTCTAAGCCCCTTTAGTCTCCATTTCCTCATCTAAAATACAAACGGAATGAGCAGGGAGTTTCCTAGGATCTCCTTAGCTCTAAGAGGTCATGAGGAAATCCTAAACTCATGATGATATAGACGATAGAAATATCTAAGACTGTGAGGCCAGAAGGAAACACAATATGATGGTGACAATGGAATGAAGATGGAAACAGAAATCACTCATAGTTCCAGTCCATGTGCTTCCTTAAAATAATCTCCTGTCCTGGAAGGAACCTGAGAATTTCCATTTTTCCAAAGAGGCTAAGGTAGGGACACCAGCCAAGGTAATGGATTTTTATAAAGAAAGTACTTTGGAACAAAGGGGATTTGCATTCATTATGGGAATTAT